TGACAAAGGTTCGTAATGACATGAGGTTAGTATTGATAGTTTTATCTCTAAAACTTTATACGTAACATGTAGTATAATATATATATATATATATATAATGCTTCACATGCAATATTTACTTTGCAGTGTATAGTGGTAGTACTGCAGTAGTTGTGGTATCAATGCGTGTAGTATTAGTGTATCAATGATGTCTATTTGCGATTTTGATGTTTTATGGATATGAGAAACGGCTTTGCGCAATTCGCAAACAATTTAGTCATAAAATTAGTGCCGAATTCCAGATAATTTACATTTATATTAGAAGGGAAATCGAGCCCGTCGTTGAACCATGGAATTTGTTGATAGATAGCTAGTAAACACCAAACTTGAATTCAATTCCTCGCGAGTTTCAGGAATTGCTTTCAAAAATGCAATTATTTTCCCATGCAGTCGTGTGTTTTGGAAGCCTCTTCAGGCCCTGGCTGTTGGCAGGAATCATTGGAATGTGTTCAGACATGAATTTGCAGCGTATCGTCGTAATTTTATTGTCGTTAGGTACTTCTCAGATATATATATGTACACGTTATGTACCAAATACGAGTAATCGATGGTAGGAATCAATAGACGTACCGCAAAATGTATCGTGCTTGAGTGCATATTCTCACCGGATACACATAACGCAAAACTTTGAGATTATAAAAAGAAAAGACAACCTTAATTGAAATGACTAGGACACATGCTAGCCTGCGGTGATATAGAAAAAAGGCAAGTTAATTACTGACAAAAATACGTGTGCGCTTAACACAAAATATATAAACTCCTAGCCGCCGGCAAGGTTTTTCGTGTAGATTGGTAAAACGTGTACATACTCTGATCGTTTGACATTTTATCCTAATAAACGATGATTATGTGAATTTCTTGCATGTCGGAAATTTTTGAAGTGCCCGACAAAGCGGGAGTACGTGAAAATATGGTAATGAATATATACATGCAGAAACAGTATAACCTTGTTTATTAGAAAGCCTATTTATAGTTGTTTGCACTTTGCGCGTGACCTACATACCAAGACATGTCCACGTAACAAGACACAAA